CTACTGCTACTGCTACTATTGCTACTGCTACTGCTACTGCTACTGTTACTACCACTACCACTACCAGTACCTGCACTACGCCCACGACGACTACTTCCATTGGAAGACATCGCGGTCCCGTCGATTCATGCCGACAGTGCAGCCAGGTTCGTGACCAAGCAGGACATCCTGTCATTGACGCTCTTGGGCTGCATCGACTTTGCTTGCTTTCAGCCGGCTGCTGCCGGCCTTGTAACCAGTGGTAGCCGAGGGTGGAAGATCTTCCACTGCATTGGTCGCCAGTGCCTGAGCTACAGGCGACTGTCAGCTGCGCGGCAACGCCACAGTGCATAGCAGTCTCATATTCTGTGAACGAAACCAAGGAGGATCAGTGCCGGAAAGGCCCGCAGACACAAGCAGATTCAGGCCATGCTGGATAGAAGTTAGCCTTGGCTATCAAGAGGGTTAGTTATTGCAGTCCATGGATACGACTGCCTGGCATCAAAAGGAATACATCGTTTTTGGCAACTGGCTAACGTAAAGGCCTGTCAGTCTTTGAATGCAGCCGGTGCGCAGGCCATTACTCGTCAGCTGGACAAGACTTTTTTTGCTGAGCTCTCGGACACCGACTGCAAGCTTTCTCGTACCACGTGTTACTCACCATGCTTCAGCTAAGCACGGTCTGCATGACCGGCAGTAGTACAATCTGTAGCAGCAGGGATGCATGATAAGTCTGTTTCAGCCTTAGCAAATGCGTGGCCGTCTGTCTGTGCATTGCGAAGATTGGAGGGACAGTGGAACCAGTCTGGCCACATGCTAAGTTCATGGGCTTCAACAAAGAGAAGATGCTTCCGAACGAAATGGAGGACGCCGTGCTATTCGATGGGCAGGTTAACACCGTCCAGCTTTCATCCTGCATACTCGGCAGCCGACATTGGTAGTGCGTCTTCAGTCTTCGACACCAGCTCTGCGATTGTTCAAGAGCGGCAAGATGTGGGAGGCACCGAAAATTAGGGGTACCTTATTTTGGGGTCCTTATAATAAGGATCCTACTATTTGGGGTACTATATTAGGGTCCCCTATTTTCGGAAACCCCCATGTGTCAAACCCACTCGGCATTTCTGCTCGCTGCAGACACTATGTACCCTTGCCTGGTAGACAGAGACCCTCTGTCGCAGAGGTCATCAACTCAAGGGACGAAGGCGCAGTGAGGGTGTTGAGTACCCTAAACCGTAAGCCCTATGCTCCCACGAACGCTTGCTTCCCCTCCTCATGTCGGCGAAGGAAGCGAGGAGCTATTTCCCACCCACAGTCAACGTGCGCCACCTCAACAACAACTGGCTCAGGCGGTTGGGAGGGATTGGATGACTGTCCCTAGACTCTTCAGTGTTCTCTCATCTCCACTCCAAAGTTTCGTGTGCACGGGAAAGAAATCGAACACTCATGCTTCTTGAGATAGCTTGCCAGGAAAGCCATGGAGGGAACGAAGTGGGAAGCTATGAGGGACAAGGTCAAGGGCTCCAACATGCCCCTCAGTCCGCAAGCGTGAGACTGCACGCATGGCAGCGCTAGCCTTTTCAGCAACATCTGTCGAACTTTACCGGGTGTCGCTTCTGGGTGCGTGGCTGCAGTTATGTCTTCGTGGAGACCGACAAGGACCTCAAGCCTTCAATTCAGGCAGCTGATTCAATGTGCAGTTGCGAGATTTGGACAAGTCCAGTCCCCACCACTACCTCAATTGCTCATACGTCCCCAGCCTTGCAGCAGACCGTTCGAAGCAAAGCCGAAGCATTAGACTAGACAAAATTCTCTAAACTCTACATCTACATTTCTACTGACACCTAGACACCTAAACACATCCTAAGCACTCGTAACTCCGCCAGGACGCTAAGCCTCTAAGCTTTGGATTGCATTGACTGTTTCAGGCTTACATGAAGATCGAGAAGCAGTTCAATCGGACGGCCCCTGTCCTTGCTGTCCTTCTACCGACGGCTCGCGCGAAGTCTCGCTCGGGCCCAGGCCAAGCTCGATGTGCTCAGGGAGGAGTGGGCGGATGTATGGACCTCAGAGCGAGGGCCGGCATGCTCTGCATTCTGCAAGCTTCTTGAGTTGCTGGAGCTTTCTCAGAAGGTTGGTAGGCTTGTCTCGTCTGTTGTTGCTGGGCATTCTCAGAGAATACGAGCCATTGGATGACAGACAAGTCACGCAGGGAGACTTCTTCGACGCATGCACTCGCCCTGCCAGGACCTGACTTACGACCTCCAGCCCATGATCGGCGGAATGATGAGTGAAGAGTGGCTGTGCTGGCATGCTTGTCGCTTCCAGCATGGCTTGCCTCGCGCACGCGGTGATGCTGCTTGTGCTGGCGATGTGCCCCGCCTTGCCAGGAACGTTATGGAGCCAGCAGATGTTGTGAAGCTCAAGGCTCTGCGCTTTGAGAAATCTGAAGAGAATCTCAAGTGTCAAGAGCGCAGCGAGCAGCTGAGACAAGATGCCAGGACTTCCCAACGAAGACGGAGCTCATTGGACAGATTGCGGGCTCCATCAAGCAAGTCACCACCAAGCTCGCCGTCGGTGTCAAGCAGGTGCGAAGCCCAAGACATCCCACAACCATGCAAGGGCTTTGATGTGTCCCATTGAGGTCCCAACCAAGCTGGCGATCGGCCTCAAGAAGACCGTGGAGAAGGGCGAGGAAGCCGGCAAGAGACCGGGGCCCGGCATGACCCGGCCCTGCGCATCTGACGCATCCTGCCAGGGGTTGGCGAAAGCATGGAAGCGCTTGTCCCGCGCAGCAGTCTTCGGCTATGCTAAGGAATAAAGCCTCTAAATCTGCAGAGCACACTCCGGTGGTTTAGGTTTCTTCTCAAGACTCGGTACTTGGCAACAGTTGGAGCAAGTGGTGACCATACTCGTTCACAAGAGGTGTCAGAAAGCCGCCGTCCGGTGGAGCCATGGCGGGGTTTTCACAGAGCACTCCAGGCAAACCAAGGTCGGCTGTCGAGTCCATCATGCTGTTGCTGGCTGCTGGCATTGGTTCTGGGGTCATGGTGCCCCTCCGGCTGCAACTGTTACCAGCCACAGCCCCGACGAGACCACAAGCAGAAACTGTGGATGAGAAACGAGACTTGAACTGTCTTTGCACCCGGTCTTACCTAACACTAAGGAGGCAAGATACAGTAAAAAAGCGATCCTGCACACAAAAGCTCTCACAAGGAGTACTTACATAATTCGACTTATTCTATATAAAGACGGGCTCTTCGGAGTCATTGCTGCGCACATCGCGGTACGTCCACGAAGAGCACAAGCATGGGAAGTTTAGGAGACAGTTCTCCAGAGCGAGGAGGGAGAATCAGACTCTAGCAGCACAGGCTCCCTCGAGCTATGGCGGCTGTGGGGCCGGGGGCGATGCTTGTGCTGTTCATTGGTGGCTGGCTTATCTCATCGGTAACGACTTGGATTCTCTTTTCAGCGGTCACAGAAGCCAGGAGTGCAGAAAGCAACATGCTGCTTGCCAATGAGCTTTTCTGCCACCCGCCTCCACCAACCTCCACTGCCCAAACGGAAGCTGTCAATGCCATTGCTGTGCAAAGAGTTGCTTTGTCACACGCGTAGAAACGGTGGCACTTGTGTCGCGAGTTGGGAACAAGCTGAGCCCTTTACACTCCCAGCCGGAGTTTTATTTCGGCATGCAGGAGGCAGCCTGAGACGATCATGTCTATTTCCTCCCGGCTCCTGAGCAATTCCATGTCGTCGCATTCACTGGTCGGCCTCATCTCGCCTCAGGCTGGGGAAGATGTCCTTTCGCTTCTTTCCTGTACGCTCTTGGAATCCTTGCGATTGCCAGGCGGCGCGGGGGCTGGACACACCGACGGCGGATCCTCACGACCCTCACGCTACCCTGTCACCGACAGCGGCTCTCCTGTCACCGACAGCGGCGAGTGTGCTGGAGCGGAAACGAAGTACCTCTGTCTACGATTTCAAAGATCGCAAGAGCAGCAAGCAGACTGCTCGGGTTGTGGAACAAGCTCACTTACCTGGCCCATCCTATGGAGACTTGCTGGCCATGGTGTGGCCACCGAGTTACATGACCCTCTTGGACTTTGTGTTGCTGGTACACCAGCTGCTGGCTTTGACAGTCTATTTCTTGTTCATCTCTGAATTCATGGCCAAGCTTCCGCTCGTTTCGGAATGTCCTCCGCCAGTGGTCATCCTGATCCTCGCTGTTCCAGCATCGCTACTGGCTCAGCTGGAATCCGTTGGAGGTCTTGCAAGGCCGGCGTAAAAACAACAGGTAGCAGCGGTTTGGTCACTCCAGGGCACATTACGCAGCCCACCACATTGCTGCACAGTCGACACATGCCTGCAATTTCACATGCTGTGCCACCGCTAACTTTTGAGGGATGTAGGGAAGTTCGGACTGCCGATCAGTCTTTCCCCACTTCCGAGTCGGAACTCGGTGGCAGAAGTTTGTTCTCTTTGCGTCAGGCTGGCAAGTATCAGCCCTTTTGCTCTGCTCTTCATGATGCTGCTTGGCTGAAGCACATGGACTCACACGAATTGGTTCACTCCATCGATCTCCATCGTGCAAGCCGTGCGAGGTTTGGAGTCTTCTACAGATACCACCATCCGGACTCGGGCATGGCACCCTCAGACTTTTCAACAGCTGAGCCAGACCATGAAGCAATTCCATCAGTGACCATCGGCCTGGCTTCAGCAAGATCGTAAGATTTTCGTTGCGGTGGCTGCCGCTGTGGTGCGCAAGGTAGTAGTAGGCACTGGAACAGGCAATCGACAGTTTCCGAGAGAGCAGCGTTGCAAAGTCATCTAAGGATGTGCGTTGCAGCATCTTCCTCAGCATTCTGATTTTAGCGTGCCCTCAAAAGGAAACCCTCTGAATCCCAAGCACGTCATTGGTGGGCAGTAGCAGCCGTACCCTTGTGGAGCATCTCAGGTATTCTCGTTCATGTGGCACACCAACTGTGTCACTGTCGCACGTGAGCTACGTGATCCATCAGCAACACGCCGCCTCTTTGTGGTCCTTACGGCAACTACTGTGCTGCTTTTTGCTTACACCTCCTTGGCATATTTTGGCTACGAGACCTTTGGACAGGAACTGAGGAAGGTTCCAACAATCATGATGCTGTATTCTCGGGACGACCCCATCTTCATGACGGTCCGCGTTTTGCTTTCCTGTTCGCTCTTCGTAGCAATTCCGCTCAACGTATACCCAGTCCGCGAGTCTATCCTAAACCAGGTGCGGTTTCACAGCAGTGGTGCCTTTTTTGAGGCAGCCATACAAAGGCAAAACTACATAAGCATTTGTCTTGTGTTTGTTCCTGCGATCTTGGCTATTGTGATTCCTAGCGTGACGGAGATCATAACAGTAATCGGAGGCTCGCTGGTCACCTTCTTGATGATAGTCTTTCCTGTGTTCATTAGCGAGCTCGTTCTGCCTGAGACGGTGGTGCTGCTCTTGAAGTTCTTAGCATTGCTTGTGGTGCCGTGTCTCGTAGCGGCTTCCTTCAAATTGATTGGCAAGCCTTTCTAGAAGTAAGTCCGCTCGGACCTGCGGCCCTGAGTTGAGTCTTCTCAATGGTTTAACCCTTCGCAGTACTCTTTCGCAAGGGACCCTTGAAGCAGAGCTTCGTTCTGTTGAGACGAGATGCCTGTGAACGGGAGAGGTGCGCGAAGAGGAGAACAGTGCTTTGCAGTCCTCGGCCCTGTTGCTACAGACTGACGAGCGAGCATAGATTCCCGATGGTTGCAGTTGCTTCACGAAGTCTCAACGAATCAAAAAGCAACCCTTCAGCACTATCGCATCCTGTGAGTCTGGATAGTAGTCGTACTTGAGCTCGTAGGAAGCTTTCTTGACGTGAATGTCCAAGTGTTGGAAAAGAGTGGGCTACGTGCATACAGCGGCCAACCCATGTTTGCCGAGTTGGCTTCGGAAACATTTCCAACTCACGATCGTAAGGCCCAATCTGGTGCAAGAGCACCCTGCATGGATGCATTACCACAGACTTCCAGCTAAGGCACAGTCGGAGATGTCACCCCAGAGTGAAGGGCAAGCTGAGCCATGTCAACAACCGCAACATCATAAGAATATACATAGTTGAGAGCTCCGTGAAGACATCCAGGCCGATGCTGCTTCTACATAGACAGCTTTACATGAGTAGTGCAACTTGCTGACTTGCAAAAGCGAAGCAAGACATGGAGGTGCAAAACGAATGCGACGTTTGGCCGCTGAATTGCGCAACGGTAGTTGGCTGCGAAATATTCGGTGTTGATTTCAACTTCGCAAGCAAGGACATTCGTGCAGACGGGGCCTTCATAGTAGCTGGCCATGCGTGAAATGTTGGTTTGCCCCACAGCGCTTTGCTCAAGGCTTTTAGCAAGAGAGAGCAAACTGTGCAGCTGACACTTTGCAGATCCCACACGATCCGATGTTGAATCCAATTCACCTCAGGCATGTAGAAACTGGCACTTGCAGAGAAGCGAAGCCTGCTGTGACGCTGGTCCGACATGCCAGGGTTGGCCGTGGCCTGCAAGGCCAGCAGTTCAGTTCTACTTATGGTTTTAAAATATGCTTCAGCAGCGCGTCTGAAGGCACGCCCATACTTGCCACGGTGCGTGTGAGATTTGATCAATCAGCCATGATCTAGAGTCCGGAAGAACATACGGCGTCTGCATCGGAGGCGCCTGTTAGTCGGTTTCGCGGTGTTCAAGTCGCTCGCTTCCAGGCCATAGCGCAAGGTTGTTGCTTTGTGACAGTACAGCTGCATGGATCGGTTCCTGGACAGCGGTCAAATGTGCGCATCTGCCAGAGAGAGAAGCCGGAAGTCTTGACAGAACCAAGCCATCCGTAGCTCGTGATTCAGGCTGGCAGGGCATGGTCACGTGCTTTGGACCGGCGACAGCCTTGTGAAATCCGTCAGGAGGTTTCATGCCAGCATGAGCGAGCGTGAGTGAGCGGAAGGCTTCAAAAGCATACCGAGGCCGGTTGCGACGCAGTGGCGAAGGCTCGCAACGCAAAGCCAAGGCCCTGTCGTGTGTTGGCCTAGCAACCTGCACGGTTCGCTGTACTCAGTTTGACAGATGTGCAGATTGAGATAGTGTGGAGCTCTCACCTTGCAAACTCAGTCATGACGAAGCAGTGAGAGCAGGAGCAAGCAGCAGAACTGAATCGCGAGTGGACCGAACGAAGCGGTTGGCCCCTGCAGTGTAGCAACGCAAGCGAAGACACTTGACCCGACCTCTTCAGCGAGTGTTGGCGTTGCTGTCTTTGAGGGCGGGTTTTCCTGCCCTTGCTGGTGCAGAGCCACCATGCAAAGCTGCATGGCCTGCATGCCGTCCTTGCTCCGAACTCCGACTTCTCAAGTAGAGGCCGCATATCCTCAGGGAGCTCTCCCTGTCGGCAGCCAACGGCAGCCTGCGGCAGCCTGCTGTGCTCCTATGCGCCTGTTGCTTCCCAGCCCCCGCCGCCCCGCCGGCGCTCGCCCTCGTGGCCGGGGCCAACGGGGAAGGCTTTGTTTGCGGTCCCGGCAAGGAATCCTCTTAGCCCCTTCGTCTTGACGCAAGGCAGCGCTGCAGAAGGTTCCTGAATCCTCCTCGATATCGCAGGGGCTCTGTCGCTGAAGGTTCCTGCGTGTCCATCATCGAAGACCTGCTCGAGCGAATTGCTGTTCTCCTGGGGTCAGTACCGTGCTGTCGTTGAAGCTCTGCTGCTGGTGCTGGTGCTGCTGCCACTGCTCTGTCCTCTGACCCTGGCGGTCAATGACGGTGCATGCTATGATTCCACCGATACGGATACAGTCGCTCCCCCCTGTCAGTCCACATTGCATTCCCGTTTCCGAGTTTGAATGTTCGGCCAGGTGCCGTCTTATTTGATGCAGGCCTTTGCCCCATTCTGTAGTTCGCCACTGCTTTCCCTCTCCCTTCGCATCGTCTTCACAAGTAGGGACAAGCGGCCGCGGGACGAGTTTCGACGGCTTTTTGTTTAGTTCCCAGGTCTTCCTCACCGATGGGCGACGTCGTCATGTTGACGTACAGTGGAACCATGAAGCCGCTATGTGTTATGAGCAAGAACAACTGTGTCGGGCAGTCAACAGTGCTTGGCTCACTGATCCTGACCTGCCGAGAAATCGAAATTGATAGAAGGCGATAGTGCTTGCTTGTTTTGCAGGCTTAGTTGACTGGGATAGCCCTATTGAGAACCCCGTTGATCACTGTACATCTCAGTCAAGAATCAACAATGCAGATCCTGAGTTTTCAACACCAAGAAACGGTCAACCAGGTTTGCACCAGTACTGGTGTGGGCTACGAAACTGAGATATACGCGGGGGACTGCAGACCGTGCCTTTGCAGCGGTTCACGCAAAGTTGGGTTGACACAGTTGTCAAACTCGTTCGCTCGTGGCGTTCGCACGCCCTGCAAGGGCTGCTTTCTCTGTCGATCCTTGTGAAGAGCACAACCTTGTGCAGCTGGGCTGCCTGGAGCAGGGGCCATGTCTCCGAAGTTTTGACCATCGTCCCGACTACTTTGAGCTGCGTGACTGCATGCACTTCCCAACATCGGAGAGGCCGCCGCAATGCAGCACTTTGCCCCGGACGCTTGGGCCTACGACGAGCGGTGACGGTGGCCTCGACCTTGGTCATGCGATGTCTTGCCGACTTACTCGTACCTACCTCTAGCTAGCAATTGGGATGCGAAAGCTGCACGACCAGCCAAACCGGCCTTCCAGACAAGCTCAAAAGGTAAAGTAGGGCTTTAGAAGCAAGACAGTGCATGCCATGACCTCGGTGGAAGCCCTAAGCCTCCCTGCATGGCTCTCCAAAATCCTCCAGCTTCAGCCCCGAACCTGCAGCCGTGAAGCGGAACTCCAAAAAGCCCAGAGCCTGAGACTCTGCAGGCCCCCGCGCCAGAAGCTGTTGAGCTTGCCCTGTTGCCTGCCAGGCCACAGCAGGCCGAACAGGGAATTAGAGGAATTAGTCTGATTCCGGGAGTAGGGCGGAAGGGCCTAACTTGGCCCATGTGCCCTCAGGCACAAGCTTTCAGGCCTGCTGGCATGTGCTCGTAGACTCGTAGCAGGTGGATGTGCTCTAGTTCCTTGCCCTTGGATTCTGCGCGATGTCCACTGTGAATTAAAGGCTTCGAAGCTATCCCCAATGCCAATACGGAATGAGGGGGTGGGGTCGGGCGGGGGGGGGGCGTGGGTAGTGTAGTGAGCTGCGGCATTTGGGGCTCTGAGGGGTCCTTCACGGTCGCTCGAGTGAAAGCCTCACCCGGTACGTGTGTTCGGATCTCAATGGCCAGGACAATTCTTATTAAACCTTGCAAAGGAAGGTTTGAGAGGTTTCCTTGGCCCACGAAATCTGCAAACCTTCCGCTTATAAAGCGAGATGACAGTAGCCTCAGTGTCAGCAAGCCATGCAAAACCCCTGCTGCGCGAAAACGAGAGGTGCAAAGCTGGCTGCAACGCTTTGGCGCTGTGGTCGCCCGATGGCCGGTACTGACAGCTGTGTGTCTTGGCTGTAAAACTGTAACTATTCACACCGCATTAGAGGTTGCAGTTTGTCGTGCATTTTCAGGTCTAGGACCAATAGTGTCACATGCATGCGCAGCAGCGCATCGCGATGCAAATCTTCACCCCCGGTCATATGTATGTATATATATATATGAATTTCATAATATATGTGTATGTATATATGTGTATGGTTATATATATATATATATATATATATATATATAGGCAAGAAATGCAGGGCGCGAGCAGCCTTGCTTCAAACTTCGCCAGCTCACTGAGGCTGTCTTGCAGCATCAAAGCGGCGTTAGCGGATTTGGTTGTGCAGGTGCGTTGAGAGAGAGAGAGAGAGAGAGAGAGAGAGGTGTAGGGGGGCTTGCTCCCCTGCACCACAACCCTGTGGAAAGAAAGAGAGAGAGAGGTAAGGGGAGCTTCCCCTTGCCCATAGCCCTGGCGAAAGAAAGAGAGAGAGAGAGAGAGAGAAGAAGGCCTCAACCTAGATCGTTGCCCGAATTTCGATCCATGAATCGTCACTCCTAGTGAGACGGCATTTGCACCCGGGCAGGTGCTGATCGAGCGTCGAGAGAAGCTTGACAAGCAGAGGAACTTCCTGCAGTAACCTTGGGTGCGTGATGACGAGCTCGCTCGAGAGAATGGGAGTTCATTACAGCCTTGCGTTGCTCCTCAGGTTCATGGCGTTTGGAGGACTCGTACAGGGAGGTTTCCAGTATTTCCTCTGGAACGCCCGAGCCTTATTTTTACGGCTGAAAGACTGCAGAACTGTCACCCCATACATGGTCTGGAAATGCAGTCGACCTTGTGCAGATGCAAGTGATAAATTGAGATTCTCTTGGTCGATCACACAGGGAGCAATTCGGTGTTGGCGCTGATCGGTCAAGGTCATTTTCGAACGAATATGGCCGGGAAGAAGCAAGCTCGCCAGCTTCTGCAAGTTGGCTGTGCCTCGGTGAAAGGTCTGCTTCGGCTTTTGGCTCCCCTGTGCATCATGTGGGACGAAGATTGAGGAGATGTGCGACGTAGTCCCGTAATCATGTGTGCAGTGGGCCTGGCTTATGCCACGGCCCTCGCACACAGCCCAGACCTTACGCAATTGATATTCCAGACCTGGGCGGAAAGGTAGTATTCTGATCAATCTGATCATGTAATTACTTACTTTTCATTGTCGGCGACCCGGCAACAACTCGAATCTCCAGTCCAAGCTGATGCGATCTCATGCCTGAGAGAACCTAAGCAGAGACCTTTTCCTCATTGGCACTTCCAGGCTACTAACTTCATCTCCGACCCGTTCTTCCTTTTTCCCTCTTTCTATGTCATGAAGGAGGCTGAAGAGTTCTTAGGCCTTGCTGTTTGCTGTCAAAGTCTGCGGGTTTGGGACAAGTATGCCTTCGATCAGCACAGTGTCCTGACCGTCGTGGGCTCTCCAAGCTTCGCTGTCATCACTCTATAGATTCACTTCCAGGAATGGTCAATCGAGATTCATTGTTCCGACGGGTTTAGATATTCTTCGTTCTCTGACTTGCGCTTGGAGACTTGAGCTAGTTATGGGACAGTCGCGGATGGCAGGCTGCAAAGGCACAGACAACCAGCGAAGCACTGGCTGCAGCATTCACGAAGCAGGGCCGCCCCAGAAAGAGGGTTGTGACGCTACTGCATGCAATCAACTTTCTCTTGGCACATGATGCAGCGTTGCTGTTGGCTACTGCAGGTACCGTGCAAACTGCGTCCAGGACTGGATGATGAGCTGGATGGTTTGGCTACCAGGCGTGCCCTATCCTGCTACCCGATACCAGGGGCCCCAGTGCTCCTTCAGAAAGCCTCTGTGCCAGGGCATTACGTGACTTACTTCTGGCAGGGCTCTGAGCTGGAGCCGGCGGGTGTGTGGGGTGGGGGGGGGCACTTTTCCACACGGCCACCCTAAGGCTACCGCTCCACTTGCGAGTGCCACAGGCTCAGGCTGTATTAAAGTTGTCGTTTCTGACGTTCCCTGTTCTGGCCAAGGCCCTGGGTGGCCCTGGCATCCTTCAGCTACATCGGTGCGCCTGTCCGTGCTGCAGCTTTGGGAACTACGGTTTCTGTTGGCTCCAGGTGCCCTCAGCTACGTCAGGCGCGTGTCTCAGCTCTCTTCTTGGGCGTTGCATTTCTGAGTCTGATCCTTTGACAGGGGTGGCTCTGTGGATCAGACCAACTCCTGATTTTCCGGGACTCCTGCGCAGCCTGCACTGGAGTCCGGATCTGCTCTGCGCAGTGCCTAGAGCCTATGTTTAGTTGCGCCAGGCTTCGAGGTGGCTCGCAGGTATGGCAGCATGGCAGGCTCTAACGAAGCGCTGGGGATGCTGTCGCCTAGGGGCTTCGCATCCTGTCAAAAGCATGTTCCGTCGGCCTGTCCCCTTATCTCCCAAAGGAGCTTCGGAGCCAGGGTCCACGCAAAGCTCGAATGGGGCTGTTGTCCGTTATCCTTGTCTTGAAAGCGGAGATCTTAAAATATCTTAGAATCAAGAGAGAGTAACATCGTGGCTTTCGCAGCCTAATTCCGGCGCGAGCTGCAAGATTGTGGAATCTGTGCTCGTGCCTTGTGCCCAAGTTCCCATCCGGTGTCCGGAGTGTTGCGACATGGTGCGACAGCTCTGGAGCTGGATCTTTAAGACCTTTCCCGAGACTTTTAATGCTCGCACTTTCCTCACCTCGCTGTTGATCCGATCCCTTTTTAATCGGCATCTTGCCTAGAGGAGCCGACAGCTCCCTTCTGCCGGTGTGTACAGCACAGCTGAGGTTGATGACGAAGAGACCAGCAATCGCAGTGGAGAAATGGCGGACTGCATCCGATTGATGAGACCGTGGTGGGTCCTCATCGATTTGTCAAGTTACTCCGCTCCTCCGCATTGCCCTTTCAAGCTTGTGGGCACTTGGCCACTCGTCGCCGGAAGTCGCCCGGCCTCTCCGAATGGGGTGCGCCGAGGGCTTGTGGACTTGCAGGATAAGCCAATGTACTTTTGGGGGACTCGTACCTTTTGCTTAGAGGCCTAGAGACCTGCCATTGAAATCTAGGTTTGGGCAAACTCGCAGTCGTGTCAGGAAAGCTGGCGCGAAGAAGAAGGATGCTGGCAAGGATTGCAGTACACGTTGACATTTGAAGTCGGCTTTCATCTAAGAGCCCAGCGGTGGGACCTGTCTCATGCTACTTCCTCTACGCGTACCTTGTAGATGTCGCAGGCTCCGACGGTAGAAGACGAGGAGGAGGAGGCCATTTGCTTGTGGTGTGTGCGTGTGAGTGTACACGTCATGACTTTGTGCAGCCTCACGTGCACATGCACACATGCACGGTTGCAGCAATCTTTCAGCAGTCGAGCTGTTCTTGCAAAACAGGCAGCAGCAACATGTCCATGTTAGCCAGCAGGTGGACAGGAAGCCTTCAACCATCGTTCGATCAACTGGCAATTGTCTGCATGTGTGCCATGGCAGCCAGCATATGTCTATGGCCACACATGGACTATCTATGCATGCCTACGGGAACACTTTCATACATACGGCAATCATACGCACATACGCACACACGCAGTGAAGACGCACACTCCAAAGGTCCCCCTTTCCGTACTCGGCAGACCTTCTCTGATCAGACTTTGGCAGAGTGTGCCGAAGTTCAGTCTTCAGGCTCACTGCATCGGGCATATGCATGGAAGCCTGCATGCAACATACACAGATACATGCAAGCACAGATACGTAGTGATACCCAGACGGATAATGCCTGTTGACATGCATGTCTACATGTGCCAAAAAATAACAGCGCACTCCTAAGAGCTTCCCTGGCAGAGTTTGCCGTGATCAGATTTTTTTTGTGGCATCATCCCCTTGTGGTGCCAGGAGGACACCCGAGATGGCCGGGCACTCGGCACAAGCGTTGCAACTAACCTGCTCTCTGGTGCCATGAGCTGCGGTAACGGGCATGACCGATCGCGTGAGGCGGCTTTGGGAACGGACTTGCGAGATTTCTCAGGATTCGATTGTTTATACGGTGGATGGACGAAAATTTGCACCACCTGTATAATAAGCGACACTTCGGACGGTTGCAGTAGATGACTTCGAACTCCCGTCGACATAGAATATAGACACATGTTGCATGCCAGGCGGTGCAAGATTGTAAGCTTTTGGTCGCGTGAACGTTTATGTACTGAACCGAGTGTAAAACGAGCAGCATCGTGAACCACCGCAATCGCCCATGTCGTAGCCATATATCACCCGTTCAAACAAGCTCTGGATTCAGCCAATGCCCAAGCAGGAGAACGTCTCAAAACCATCATGCTTCTTGATGGCGAGTGGAAGTAAGGTCCTCCCAGCAGCAAGGGTAAGAAGGAGGCTGCCCTGAAAAGGAAGCCGCAGGTCAGGGCCCCGACACTTCGAGGGAGTTTGTCTCGTGGTGCATTTCCGGCTTCCGATTTGCCGTGGCGTCTTCGATTTGTCCTTGGTGTCCATATTCTGCCCAAGGTGGGATGTAAAAGGTGGTTCGAACTAGTAGATTGGGAACGCCAAAGTTCGTGTCGCGGAATCCCAGTTGCACCGGGTAATCTGTTAAGCTGCTGCCGTGTCGGATGATGCTTGATGTGTTTTTACTGCACACAAGCAAGTGGGTGTAAGCCTGCAACTAGGCGAAGCAGATGGATGCTTTTGCCCAGATGGAGCTGGACAGGCTTGGCATGCCAAGTCAAAGCTGCTGCACTAGAATAGGCAGCTTCGCGGGCAGGCTGCATGAGGGACTCTCGCAAAACGTTTCTTGCTGAGCAGTCGCAGTGTCTACATCGGTCCTGTTGGTGCCCAGTGCAGCTGACCATCAGCATTGAATGCATCATAGAAATCGATGACACGTCCGCTGGCTACTGCAGCCCCAGCTGGCCGTTTCGTTGATTTTTCAGATCTGTTTCCATGATTTGTCAGTATGTTTTCTGTGGTTTCCAGTGTGCCGATCCAGTGCGGGGCCTGAGTGGGGCGTTCCGTGTTTCCACAACGGGGCGCCCGCGTTCGTGAGATCGACACCTCCCTGACGCCGATCTGAGAGAGTCCTGTCTAATGCAAAACTAGATCTAGGCTTCGTTAAGCTGCTGCGAACAACAGCTCCGTTTTCAATTCCTGTACCGAGAATCGTTTTTGCGGGGAGTTGCCCGGCATTTCTGTGTTGCGCTCGCAGAACACTCGTTTTACTTCTTGCAGCGGGAATGTCAACCTCGAGCTCCAGCTTGAAGAGCTTGCAATCATTGTTGCAGGCAGCGCGAGGCCAGGCAAAGAATAGCCTGGCCCTTAGCCAATCCTGCCTGAGGGCCTGAAGGCACGCTGCACCGGCTCTGGCCTCCGAGCTACAGCTGGCTGAAAACAGCCAACATGCCCTGCAACCGCCGCGGGCAGACTACTCTAGGAAGTGTAAAAATATCCCTCAGCCACGAGACTAGGGCCTCGATGCTCGTCGCTGCGCTTGTGTTGAAGAATTGCTTTTTGGCTCGAGACAGTACATGGCTTGAGAACAGGCTTGCAAAGCGCGGCAATTAACTAGTTCTCCTTTGATGTGCGTCATGTGCTTGAGACCATGGCAAGACACGTTCGAAACCAACCACCAGAAGAGCATAACTACAAGCACGAAGACTTATTGTGCAAGGTGGAGCGGTTCCTTCGACTTATCCTCGTGGGCTTCATCCTGGATGCGCTGAAAGGAGTTGTGTGCCCGAGGGCACCTTGAGCGGCCTAAGCATCGTGCCCAAATCAGGAAAGTCCGCGGAGGGCAGCAGCAAGGAGCCTGATCGCAAGAAGAAAGGCCGGCATCTGTGCGGCCGAGGGCTTAGGAGGCCTTCGTTGTAACGTCCCCGCAGGTCCAAACAGCGGAAAAGGATCGAAGGATGGGACGGGTCCTCGGTGCACTCGGCAGACTGGTCTCGAGATGTCTCGCGCCAGATCGTCTGAGGTCAGATGCGCTGTCAGTGAAATCCATTCGGGAGAAGGTGCCGAGACTGTATGGGCTCAATGATCATGCATGCGTCGGTTGCAAGGCAAACACCTACGGTGGCCCAGCCATCATGGTCGCCTTCATTGTGGCTATGCGGCCTCCTCAGTGCTTCTGCATTCCACATGTTCGATAGATAACTGGATATGCATAGATGTAGGTTGGCCATCCGTGCAGCCGAAGAAGGCGGCTCCTGCTGTTAAAGGTTTGCTCCGCAAGCGCAAGTCAACATCCATGATCGGATTTCATCATTTTGGTTCCGAGGGTCCTGCCACAGAGCCGCCCAGCCGTTTGGGATAAGAGCACGGCTTGTCTCCGTTCGTGTTTTTGATTCGGTACCCAGTGCACAGGATGATTTGACTGGGGCAGATAGTCTTGGCTCTGCTTCGGCATGGCCAGGCTACCACCCTGCAGACCAGGACGAACATGGGGCCTGCTGCTCGGGGCATGGGGATGCGGCATCGATGAAACCTGGAGCTCACACCCCGAGTTCAACTTCTACGAAGTCATGGGCCTGACGAAAGGCCCCATGGCCGTTGCACGGACCCTTCTCTGTCTGTTCAGCAGAAACGGTGGTGGGAAGAACATCTAAACCACTTTAAGTGTGGGTGGGCTTGCCGATGGACTTTCAACGTGAGGTTGTGCACTGTGCTGGAAATGTCAGTTGTGCTGGAGCTCTGCCCAAGCAGGTGTGGATCAGATGGAAATCAGGAAGGCCTACAAGGCCAACTGGAAAGGGTTTGTTGGCCTCCGGCGTGAGATTCGATTCGGAGGGTGTTTTGGGATTTGAGAGTCGGCCTCGACGTGAAGGCTCCTTGCGGGGAGGAGCGTCTTGTTCTTTGGATGTCTTGCCGCTGGTAGAGGTCAGTCGGCTGAATTCTTGAGCCATGCCTCGGGTCAGGCCCTGGCTCTCAAGTACCATCCTGACAAGAACCCTGACTGCACCGAATGTCAGACTCCTAGCTGGTAGCCGGGTTGTCGAGCACTAATGCCTTGTTGGGCTACTGAGCTTCTGATTGCACAGAGGTGTCGAGAAAGGGGAGCCATGTCGTTGAATGCACCACTGAAGTCAGTACACAAGGTGCTGAGAAGTTCGGGAAGATCTCCAAAGCATACGTGTTGGCCCAAGCGACGGTTTCTCCAATCTGTCAGATGGTTCCTCCCTCAAACTTTGCACATCCCGAGGACACGCTGTCGAATCCAGAGGCGAGAAAGGTGATCCCGGCCTCCGCACTCTGCCGTGGAAGTACCGAGGATCCTAAGACAGCGTAGCTGGCGTGGCTGTCTCGAACACAAGACAATGCAAGTTCAGCAATGGTTGTGAGGAGATGAAGGTTGCCATTTGTTGCGCAATTCCGTGCAGCTGCCGTAGCAGTCAACAAACGGAAAGTGCAGTAGCCATTCCCCAACCTCAAAGCAACATGCTCCCATGGAACACAGGCGCATGGAGACAGATACAGATAAACGAAGATGTGCAAAACGGAATGCCCGCACAGATCCTGAGCTTGAGCAGCCCTCAGAAGGTAAAGGTAGAAGGGCTATCGCCACCGGCAGCATGGGTAATCACCATCAGGCTGATGACAGCTGAAGATGCTGGCGCCGAGTCGGACATACAATCCATTAACTCGGATGCACCTCCGGCCTGGAATTCGGACGACGAGCCACCGGAAGATCACGTAGGAGATGAAAACACCTGCAGTCGGGATGGGGCGGTTAAGAAGTTGATTCAGAAGGTGGGAAAAGGTCTGGAACGGCCCGGCCAAAACGACATCGTGACAGTCCGTTTCTCCACACTTCAGCTCGATGGCCCACCTATCGAGGATGTTGCGGATCAGATCACGGTTGAGATGGGGGACAACAAGCTCCCGCTGGCTGTAGAGTTTGCAGTGAAGAGCATGCGGGTCGGAGAGGTTGCAGAGATCCGCGCCCCAGCAGCGTACAGCAAGATCCTGTCTCCGCTTTGTGGCCGACAGCTGCGTACCCAGCCAGGCGTGCTTCCGAAGACTGGCAAAGTGAAGCGGAAGCTGCGTTTTTTGCCCGCGGCCCCAAAGGGGCTAGCAGAGCAGGCCAAAGTCGACCTCCTGAAGTTTCGCAAGGCCAAGCAAGAAGCGGAAGCGGAAGCGGAAGCGGAAGCAGCTGCGGCAGCCGCGCCTGCGCCTGCGGCTCCTCCCATGTTCCGAGCACGGGTGGAGTTGCTGGGCTTCGAGTGCGTGTTGGCGCTGACAGAGGACCGAAGCGTTACCAAACGCATCTTGCAAAACGGCTCTTCCCGCCGGCGGTGGGCCGCCCAGTCGCCTTAGCTGATGCATCAGTCAGGCTTCGTATATTATTCGCCACAGCACTACTGAGCCGGAATGCTGCTTTGGCACTTCTAACATGCTCACCAGAGCTTAACGGACTTCGGCTTGCCCTGCTTTAGAGGCCTCGTCGAGGGGACGTCCTTTTCTCAGAGTTTCTCACGCAACAGTTGTTGGCCAAGCTGGGTTTCCACAGCTACTCGTACTAACTGCTCCTCAAAGCATGGCTGTAAAGTAGCGCTTCCGTCCAGGTTGTCAGCTTCTCCTACTGCCTTCTGGAAGATGCAGGGGCGAAGAGGAGAGGTATTTCAACGAATCAGTGCATTGCGGATTTTGCTCCATTTCATTTGGAACCCTGCAAATACCTTGAGCTCCGCTCTCATCTTCTCTTGTTGAGGCGACATAACACGACCCTCCAATGTCCTGATGTTTCACACGTTATGCTCTGAGACCATCATGCATGGAGCATTGCTTCCGCAGTGCTTTCACTGTGCGCCACCTGTGCGATACAATGTGGATGACTTCGATTCTTTGCAACCATGCTTGGTGAGTCTTCATGAGGAGTTCACCACGCAAATGCGAGCTCACCCTGGGAGAGGCAGGATGGAGCGTGCCCAGAAGAGTGCCTGTGTCTGCTGGACCTAGGAGGGTCACTTCTGGTGAAGCATGTTCAGCAGAGTTGAACTTCCGATCCTTACCAAAGCTGTCGTCAAAGTCGTCGCATTCTGAAGGAGTCTTCAAACGCACGGAAGTCTCAGTCCGAGAATCTGCAAGGCCCATCCAAAACGGAGCTCTTGGGTCCATGAGAGGACGAGCTGCCCTATCCCCGGCTCGAGCATGTCATCTACTCGATGAAGGACGCCGAACTGTAAAGGGGCCAAATCCAACCGGAAGCAAGTGCATCACTCAAGTGATCGTCTCCCCGGTCGCTCAGGGATGTCTCCGATTTCAAGCGCTTCTCGTGCTCCTGCTCGCCTCGCGTCTAGATTTGATGGCCCAGTGCATCTGCATGCGCTCGCTTTGAACCTATCCCGACATCATAGGACAGGGACTCTGAATGTTACAGAAGCTTCAATATTGCGATGCCGATATCGTCCCACCCGGAGCCTCCAGGCCTTGCTGCATCCGAAGCTCGGACTGATCAAGAAGAGAAGTAAGTCAGGAGGATGAGCGTTGTCTGGCGTCGTCCTGCCGAGCTTATCATCATCATGCAACGTAGGCATGTCGGCTGGCGACGAGAAGCACGGCAGCACAATGGGTGTTAACAGGCTTGATTTATCTCACAAGGTACCGCGCTGCCCTGTTTTCGCGCTCCACGGCCGTCAGAAGCCCCTGTGCTTTTGTCTCTGAATCTCGATCTTGTTTCGGGACCCTGAAGTGGACACCACATGCGGAAGGAGTGCACGGGAAGGACCATTCTTGTGAGCGAACATGTGAGAGCTCGCACGACATGCTTTTCCAGCATGAGTTGACCTGCTCGTTCATAGCATCAAGCACTTTCGCTCTCGTTAGAGCTGTGCCAACTGCTGATGGGTCAGTGCAGGGTGGACTAAAAAAACCGCGCTTTCTCGCGAGCCTCGTGCTTGGCTGCCAGGCGTCTTCTGTCAGCCGGAGCCGAAGAGGAGCACGCGGGAAAGCCTCTCATGCTCTATGACGAGGGGGAACATGCAGGTGCTGGGCACACGACTGTCATTTGTGGGATCCCAGCCACGACGGTGTGCTTGATCTGCAACCTTCGGCAACTTGCTGGAATATGCTGGAACCTCATGCAGCAACCTGGCTGCAGGAGGGAATGCCCAATCTTCAGATGCGGAGCTGCCTGGTTTTTTGACGCGAGAACGGTGCCGAGCTGCAGTGTAGTGCTATGCGATGGAAGGTTTCAAGTTGATTTCATTGAGGTGTTGTCGTAATCTCTGTCCTAGTTGCCTGTCTCTCCATTCAACTTTGCATCGGCATTTTTGCCCTTCTCCACCCTTCGGGAAGCACCTGCGTGGCAGGACCGAGCTGGCCGGATCCCCAGCAGCTCTGGGCACGGGAGGATGCTTGGTTAAGCTTTCGGATGCATTGACATCCTGAGGGGCCAGGTAAACGAAGCGGATGCAACAGCAGGTTTTGCGGGCTTGACTCTGGAAGGAAGTCACTTTACTGCGCTGGCGACGCCGCGACCTTCTCCCCGTCGCCCCACCTGGAGAAGCTGTGCAGGCAGTCAGCTTCACTCTGGAAGCGGGGTAGGTGCGAGAGGCTGATTGATACGGTCCCAAACCTCAAAGGGCCGGGTCCGAGGTAACATGAAGGCAGGTTTCCTAACAAGACTTTAGTACATTTTCAGCACCTGATGCTTTTAGCTACTCGCTTGGATCGGGACATGCATGTACATTGTGCCGCTCAAGGAGAATGTCGGACCGAGATAGACGGGGTTCAACCGTCCACAGAATCATGTGGACAGAGTTTTTCTGTCGGCCGGGATGGCTCTACTGGTCGTGGCCGGGCATGATTCTCATTGGTGCCGTCACATGGTACCAAGTTCACCTTGATGTGGTGATCAATGCTTGGTTCGGAGACTTCTACGACTTGATACAGAAGGCATTGTCAAAGGAGTCAAGCGTGCCTAAGCACGAGATCTATGGATACTTATTCACCTTTTCCGAAGTAGCTGGAACCTACATCGTAGTCGCAGTCATGTCTGTTTTCTTTACGAAGCACTGGACCTTTCGCTGGCGTCAAGCGATGAATGACTACTACATGAGTCACTGGCAAGAGCTCCGACACATCGAGGGGGCCAGCCAGCGAGTCCAGGAGGAGACTCGATTCTGGTTCATTGTGGCTTATGGGGATGATAGGTGGAGGCTTGAAGACTCTGCTTGTCCTTGAAGTCTAGGGCCTTGCGACCGCAGCTCAGGACACGAAGCGCTTTGCAGGTCTGGTGGAAGACATCGGGGCGACGGCTCTTCAGTCGCTCATGACCCTGGCAGCATTCGTACCTATCCTTTTCGAGCTCTCGAAACCTGTTAAAGCTCTGCCGATTTTGGGGGAAGTGCCTCATGCCATGGTTGTGCTCACCATCACCTGGGCCTTGCTGGGCACCGTGGGACTTGCCTTGGTCGGGATGCGGCTTCCGGGTTTAGAGTTTCAGAACCAACTCGTCGAGGCAGCCTTCCGAAAGGAGCTGGTCTTTGGTGAGGACTCCGAGGACCGTGCCAAGCCGGATGTCGTAGAGGAGCTCTTCGCCAGCGTCCGCGAGAGCTATTTCCGGCTCTTCTTCAACTTCATGTACTTCGATTTCGCGAAGTGGTCCTATCTTCAGTTTGGAGTGATCATCCCATATCTGGCGCTGGTTCCCTGCATTGCTGAAGGGCGCATCACCCTCGGGCAGATGCAGCGGCTCGTGGCCGCGTTCAGCAGTGTGGAGCGCTCTCTCCAATTTCTGGTGCGGAACTGGGCTCAGACTCCTGGCTGAACTTCAGCCTTACACTTGGACTTTCTCTTGCCCCAATCTGCAGTACACGCAGGCCCGCCATCACCCATTGCTTCTGCAGATGTTTCTCCAAGGATCGTGGACCTAATATCTGCATCTTGACTGAATGTTTGCATATTCTCGGCTTGACTCTCAGCCTTGCGGTGTCGTGATCCCAATAAAGGCGTACATAGTGCAGCACAATCCACGGCATCCTTGCCGCGCATATTTCGGATCCTCAAACTCGCCAGATAGGGTTGTCGCCTCCTCAGCGAAAAGGTATACAAGCGGCTGCGGCTGTTCGGCCTCACGATCGACAAGGAGGCTGCCACGCTGATTGCATACTACGGTCCCATCCACGAAGCCTTTGCCTGGGCAAGCCTGCCGCTAGTTTTTCAAACCAAAGGTCTGCGTGCACGTTCGTGTAGGCCAGCAACAGCTACGTATGGCCTAAAATCATTGATTCGAAGTCATTGCTTTGCTTCTCAATTCTAGACCCCGGCGACCCAACTCAACTCAGCCTGCTTGGCATGCCACACTTCTAAGCTGCCGTCGGCCAGGGAAGCCTCCTCGGCGACGCATTTCCGATCTCGGTCTGCGGACGCCGCTCTCGGGATGATCTTTGGCAGAATCGGCAGAACATAGCGCAGGCTTTCTTGCCTTCTGCAATTTCACGATGTCTTCCGCCTCAGAGCTGTCCGAAACCTCTTGCGATTCCATTTGGGAAACCTCAAAAGCTCTTGGGATCCATGCTTTCAGAAAGTCTTTCAAAAGCCCAGGCTCAGGCCCTCAACCTGCCCTGCCATCTGAGGACGGTGAAAGCGAGTCCAGCGACTCCAAGCATCTTGGCAGTCAGGAAGCTCTGAGACTTTTCTTCCTTTTGGTACTGTATGCTCTGGTAGTCTTTGGCGCTTGCAGAGTCTTGACTTCGGAGTGTCGGGATGTTCAGTGTCTCTTGAAAACCTGGACGGGCCTGCTGCACGATGGTCCCTCGCAGCGAGCGGCTGACTGGGCAAAACACAGGGGCTTCTTGACATCAGGTTGGGGTTGTATCAGTTGTATCCAAGCAAGCGAGGCATGTCTACATCGAGCTGGATAACGTATCAACAGGATCAGAAAAAGCATGAGCCCATTGCCGAATGGGTCCAATCGGACCTGCGCGTGTCCGTACATGCTGAAATGCCATCTGAGCCTGGCCCCCAAACCCTAAATCACGAATCCGACGCTGCTAAGCAGACAATCGGTGCCCCAACGTGGGTACTGTACCTTCCGCATAGCGGTGGCCCCAGGGAAGGTAGACCGCGCACAAGACGCCACACCAAGAGGCTACAAAGTCAAGCCTGGGTGTGTCTTGACTATCCTACACCCCTTGGCCTGCTGAAGAATTTGTGCACGCTTGCAACACTCGCGAAAAGGTGAGATGGATGCCGTGGATGCCTTTTTGCCGTGCTTGTGAACCATTCCAGTGCCAGGCGGAGGGCACAGGCTGGAGACCGAGAAAGCAGCAGCTTGCAAGTCTGCCGTCGGCGCTGCAGGGCACGTGTCAGCAGCTTCGGCACTTCAGTGCGCTGCTCAATGCTTGCCCGGGCTTATGGGATTCCGTTCATGGTAGACGCCAAGGAAAACCGAGATCCGGCAGGGACCGGAGCGACGATTTCACGACATCGAGGCATCCATTAAACTGGAAGGATGCAGCACTTCCTGCAGTTTCTTGGAAGGCTGGCAGCATGGTCTTGGTCGCCTTTCGGGATCCAGGCGGTTCTTGCAGGGGGCCCCTGCAGGCGCATACACTCTGTTGGAGCTCACCCTGTCTGTAGGCCATAGCAAGGGGACGCTCCTCTCCTGGCGCGCCGGCGAGGGGGTTGGGCTCTCGAAAGTCTTTCAGCCATGCGCAGACAAGACAAAGGCTCCTTCCCGATAAGGTCGTCCCCGGCTACATTGAAGTTGCAGTGGTGCCGCCCTCAAAGCTCGGCGGCAAATGCAAACGGGAAGGGACTTTCACGCATGAGGCAAGCATGCGCTTGTGTGAGAGCGCCGACTTCAAAGCTCCTGTCGCGGTTCAGCTGTGCCGTCCCACAGGTGGCGGTTTGCCCGTGCTCCGGTCCGTGTAGTCCAGTAGACTCAATAGACCTCGGTACATGGTCACCACCACTTGGAGCTGTGCAGTAACGCTCCAGGTCCAAGCTACGAAGGGCAGACGCCACTGCAAGGAGCTTGGATACGAACCAGCTGTGGTACTGTAGTTTCTCCAGTAAAGTCCAAGGCGGAAGCTGGAAGTCCTCGAGCTCTGCCCACTGTGGGCTCCTCAAGGGGACGGTGTGGGGTCGTGGGTTGTGAGGCATTGAGGAGTGCCACCTGAAGTGCAAGGCGGAGTCGAGTGATTATGTTGTAGCTGCTGTGCCGGGTTTACAGTGTAAGCAGTGGCCCTGACAGGACCTTATCGATGTTTGCACAGTCCTCCATGTCCTCCTCTGAACCAACCCGACAAGCCTTCGTCCTCATTTCACTCGGCAGAGGCTGGATGAGCTCCTTGCTGATGACGGAGTCATGCTGCGCCGAAGTTCTTGGAACGGTGACGAACCACCGCCCCCCCCGAACACCAATGTGGCGCGCCAGGTGCCTACCGCTGCAGATGCCGACGGAGCAGGCTTCATTTCTTGGGCACCGGGGCACCGGGTCATCTTCCCACCAAGATGTGCTTCGTCTCTCCATGGACTCGTTTGCAAGGCAGTCCCTCAAGCCAGCCTTACCAGCTCCCTTCCGACTGGCCCGTGCGACTGCCTGGACATTCGTGCTGCTGCATGGTCTCACATAGTTGAAAACAACAGCTGTCGGTCAGCCGCAGCCCGCAGCATTGGAGAAATTGCTTTCTTGGCTCTGACTGGCTCCGAAGTACGACATCTGGAAATCTAGATTGGACTCTGTGAGCAATGAGTGGGACAGGTACAGGGACAGACGGCAGCGTGGGCAGACCTCAAGCTCGTCGACGACAGCGGCAGCCACCGAGAAGCAGCATGAAACAATCACTTGCCCACTTGCTGTGGTTGACATATTGACCTCCAAGGTTTTAGACTGGCAGCGAGCTCAGCGACGTCTTTGCAGCCTTGCTTGCGGTCTAACTGACTAGTCGGAGGCACTTCTAGCAGCGACGGAAGCTGTTGATCTGTGCTTGCTGGACGCCGCGAGCATGGCTGCATCCTGCAAGTCCCCGTTCCAGCCACTGTGTTAGGACCTAGGACTAGGAATGCCATCCAGGAGGAGGAAGGACAGCTTCACTTCCTGGAGCTGGAGAAGGCACACGGCAATGCTGCGAGCCGAGTATCCGCATGCCTCTGTGGGAATGACGGGACATGCGCAAAACTCTACCATCAATTCGTCAGCTTGCGTCATCCCTCGTTCCGTCTCTGATCTGAGGCTCTGGCGCGGGAGAGCCGCTTCGAAGAAGCATCCGAAGCATACAAGCGAGCGTCGCTTGAACGGACAATTCGTGGGAGCAATCCTGGGACACCGTTTGTCAGAAGCCCAGGCTTGATGCCGTGCGGCGGAGTCCCATGTACAAGGCCGAGCTCCGCTTGTCTGCCTGGATCGGCTGGCCTGTGCTTGTGAGAAATGCGTGCGCATACGCCTCAGGCTCTCTTCCCCACAGAGCGAGGGCACATCCAAGGCACCTTGCTGGTTAGCATGCGGCGCTTGTTGCCGTCTTCAACACTAACATGGTACGTACAACAACTAGTAGGTCTCATTGCAAAGAGTTGGAGCCCCACATCCAAACATGGCGGAGTTCCGCAGAGGTGCCTACAGCCGCGAGGCCGGCGAAGGTGAAAACCCTCTGCAGGGCCTTTCTGATCAGGAGGCCTAGGAGTCGATTTGTGCAGGAAGCTCAGGAGCATGCTCTCGCAAACCGGCAGATGGTTTGGCTGTTTTTTTCATCGATCTGACGTCGTAAGACTGAAAGAAAGAGATGGTTCACAAATTTTATGTTGCAGGTCTCCACGCGCAGAAGTCATCTCGTTGCGCTGCACTTGAACTTGTCCCTCTGCGCCAACAAGGCCGGAGAGCCTCCGCGAGCCACTACCTGATACCTAGATTCCTCAGATTCTCGATCCGCGGGCATGGGACCCGAATGCCGATGCCTGCGTTCAGGCCCGGCTTCATGCCTTGGCCAGACGACATGTGGCACCCTCAGCCTACCCCGGGTGAATTGCATGGGACTAATTGTCCTGTTTCGTCTTGAATCTCGAATCTTCCCGCAGTCGTTCGCTCATCCACAAAGTGTTCCGTGAGGCAGACATCGCTCTTGGCGCTCGGCTCAGCCACCGCGGAACATGGTGTAGGTGGCCTAAACTTGCCAGCTGGCTTGTGCCAGGCATGAAAGCAACTCTTGCGGGGGTGTTGCATACTATGGACGCAGTTCATGGTTCGTGCAGATGAGCGAAGCGCGTCCGCCTTCTGAAGCCTTTGGGTTTCCATTTGCAACATCATGCCATACTTGCCGGCACGAACATTTCAAGCTTCGGAGCTGAAGACTGCCCACACAGCATGCTTTCCATGCATCCTTGAGCATTCTTCGACCGAATGTACATGCATCCTTTAGCTCTCCTCCACACACTGTGGATGCCATGGCGTTCGATTTCGATGACATGGAGGCTCGCCCGTGCTGGGTTGGGTCTCTTGGAGTATCAGTCGCTACTGAGAGCCAGATCGCGTGGCGGTTGCTTGGAGGGATTCCCACCAGGTGATGCACCAGACATGGAATGAGGGTCCAATCGGAATCTTCGCGACGTCAGGCGGAGGCCCAAGCACGCCTCGCCGAAGGTGACGATGTCGCTGCACGACAGGAACCGCGATCTCTCAAAGCGGTGTGGTCTTAACAGAGCGTGGGTCAGCATAAGTACAAACAGCTGCGCCATGTCCCATCCGTCAGTTGCATGAGTGGCCAGGAATCTGCAAGACGAAAGTGCAGTTCCTGTCAAGCAGTCTCCCACAATGCCGGTAGTATGAAGTTTCCAGTTGGGTGACTTGTCCTCTGCAGGTGGGAATCACACACCCACACAGTAACACTTGTCCTTTGCAATCCCCACCCTATATAATAACAGCATACAGGGACGCTTGGAATCTGTTGATGCAGTGAGTCCCCGAATGTCCCCCATTCTTTACTTGGATGACTGAAAACGCCGTAGAACCACCTCAAGTTTCAGATACTTGTAGTTGAGTCTCAAAATGAAACTTCTTTCTTGGGTCCATCTGACCCCGCTAGTGACATTTTGACCGCACGTTCTGGTGTCTATTTAAGCTGTGAAGCGAAGTAAATTCTAATCCGCCCGGTACCCTTAATTTAAAGCAGCCTTAGATCTTGCGAAATCCACAGTCGTTTCGCAACGTTAAAGATGGCCACAGGCATTGGGGGCAGCGGAGACCCCTGACGAGTGGGGCGGAGGGCACTTCGGACTTCCTACTCGAGCTTGAAGGTTTGGCGATTTCTAGGATTGGACGTTCGATTTGATGTTCCTTTCAGAAGCCACGCTGCGCCTTAACACAGCCAAGGACATTGCCACCAATGCGAAACATATTGGATCCCAAGAAGCGGTCCTTGCCATCGCGGCAAGATCTTCGAAAATACCTTGAGTCGACTGGCGGCACCAGTAACCGAGCTGGTACGGTAATCGCGAAGGTATACCGTTTAGAGTTGGCAGCCTTGGTTTTACCGTATGCCGTTTTGTGTTTGCAATAGCTGTGCTGCTATCATAGCTCGTGTCATGCTGTTCAAGGCCACTGAGATTGGAGGTCGTAGAGACGTTCAACACACGCCTGCGGCTCTTTGTTTTCCCTGGTGCTGGGGATAGTGTGGCCAGCTGGGTGCAGTTTGTAAACCAGGCAGCTCCCGCCTTGCGGCCTTGCGCACATCGTCGTAAGCAGGCTCGGGCCTTTGCGAAGCCTTTTTTGTGAGGTGCCCTCTTGGATTGATGTCGCCATCTACGAGCGCACGGGACACGGCCAGCGCTCCCTGGAACCCTTCGCAGAGACTTTGGTCGATGATGCAGAGGAGACATGAGACACCTGCACAGTCACGCTTCGAGGCCCTTGCTTCTTGGCACTCATGCAACGAGTCGCGCGTGGCTGTGCAGGAAGCTTTCCGAGCACTTGAAGCCGTGCTGGCAGCTCATGCTAAGGCCCAGCAAAACCCAGCATGCTTTCTACCTTTGGTCCTTTTTGAAGCGGCCTGGTGCCAGGGAGGAAGCTTCGAGGGAGCACCCTTTGCTCTCGCTGCACACTCCATGGGATGCCAGGTGATGATAGAGGCCCGGGGCCCGCAGATGCCCGCATGTCACTGAAAGCCAAAGCAGCAATAAACGAGCGCGGAGGTGGCGCTGCGCTTGAAGCAGCGGATGGGCCTGCAGCCCGTGGCGATGTTTCCCATCGACCGTGGAGCCCCGCATATCCCCATCTACACTGAGGAGCGAACTGTGCGGGGTAGTGCGACTTCCCCTTCGTCCTTGGAGGAGGGCTACCGCCTCCTGTGCATGGACGAGCCTCTGGAGTTTTTCGAGGGGTTCAATCCCACGGTGCACCTCGGCTACTTACACAAAGAGGTTTGCGCAGCGTGACATTTCTGCAACAAACAAGCCGCCCCGCAAAGCTTCTCGTCCAAGTTATCGCAGGTACAGGCTAATGCTGAAGCCCAATCGCCATGAGTCGAAAGATACTCAGAGGATGATTGAGATGTGGAAGAGGGACCTTAGACTCTGCCAAGAGCACCTGTGGCCAGAAGGCAGGCCTGAGCAAGCGAGCTGCCATTGGACTTCGCTTCAGGGATGTTGGGACCCAGCCCTTGCAAGGCCATTTCATCTTCAACTGCGAGCTGCACCTTGGCTGCTGACTCCATGCAGGCCCTGTGTGACGACGTCTCGGAGACATGCAGACGTGATTCACTTCATGAACTTCTTGCCGATAAGGCACGTCATCAAGGCAATGCGAAACTTCGCGATTGATGCAAAGAAGGCGCTGCCGGAGGAGCTCGGTCCGCGTATGGGAAACGGGAAAGCATACCATAGCATGGCTTCTCCGAGGAAGCGGAGCGTGTCCGGGAGATCAACTACCGCATTACCAACTCCGGCCCAGCAAGTGCAGCGCCCTGGTCACACGAGAGCTTCGATGCATGGGCGCAGTGGACCACGTCCAAATGCTCGGTTCACAGTGTTGATGCAGATCACATAGGTGCCGGGGCCTTACTTTTGCCAGGGCATTGCTAGGCTGCTAAGCAAAGCGCTGCTTCCAGCAGCCCAGGTGAAACTTCATCCTACGACGATACAACTTCTGACGGATTTGCTGGATTCAAAGACCATGCTGTGAAGCTTCGATGGGATGCCTCGGCTTTCCGGCAATCCAGCTAGCTGCTCCTCTTCTGGCGATGGGCCAAGCCTTGCTGCCTCGTTCGGTTAAAACGACCCAAAACTGCTGTGAGATGCTGTGAGTGGGGAGACAGTAGACGCTTCGGAAACCAACACGTCAGTCTGGCTGGGCCGCCTCGCCACCACCTGTCCTACGTTTCATGCTTCCGACACCACGCCGACTCCGCCTCGAGACGCATCAGAGAATTTCACCTTCACGGACACGTTCGTCGGAAAGACGAACGAAGGAATCCAGGAATGCTTCGCAAGCAGTGGTGTTCAAGTATGGTTTGCTTCTTCATTACAAGCCCGTCGAATCCCAGCCGACAGGCCGTAGTAGCTCAAGTCAAGCAACCCGACAAACGCAACATGTACAATGTCGGAGTAGGCTCGTCGCAGACTTGCTGACAGATGAGGTGCCGAGCCCGAGAATGCCAAAGCGCGGCACACAGCAGAGACGGCTCAGATTCCCTCGGCAGAAGGCAACCTCACGTTCTCTTGCTTTCCAAGGCTCTCTACCGCCGTGGCCAAGCTGCTGCAGGAGAGCGACAAGCAATAAGAGCGAGTTCACAAGCTGTCCAGAACCAGATCCTCAAGCACTCTGCTCGGTGTCGGCCGTTCAGTCTCAGCTTTGGGGGGGCGCGGCAAGGGGCGCGGGAAAATGTCAGGACAGAGTGACTTTGAGGCCTTCGCTGCCTGAAGCGTGGCAAGATTCAAGACCGAAGCGAACAGATTCTCTAGCGCAGGCGGCCCTGCAAGACCTGCAGAGGGCTGCGGAACTACAGCCGCAGGAGCAGCCAAGCCTTGCACCAATTTCGCGGTGATGCTCAAGACTAGTAAGGCAAGGGCGCCAGGACGCCCCTGCATCCCAATATGGTAATATGGATAACATGGGTGCGTTTGAGTGCATCGATGAACGAAGAACAAAGCAGATTTACTTTCGCGAGGACAGGACCATACGAGCAGAGATCCAGTCTGTTCAACGCGGCCTAAAAGCACACAAGGAGGCTTTGCCAGAGACTTCTGATTGAAATCGCGCTTAGACCGTGTTGACTGCGCTGCAGGTGCAGAAGACGATGTTTCAGAATGTGTTCCAGCCCTCCAGCAGAAAATCGCCAGGTCCAATTCAAGAAGGACCGAACAGCTTTGGGCTCACATGAGGGGAGAAGTCTTGTTGCCTTGGAGCCAGGAAAGGACTAGTTACTAGTTGACGAGAGCTGCGATTTGGAGATGCCCAACTTCCCCGGTGCGAACAAGCAGACCAGAGATCTCTAAAATGCTGCCTTCTGGCTACCTGGCTATGCGATCTGCTCCCGCCGAAATGTCTCCGGGTCCATCTGAGGGCTAGCGCCTAGAGTAGATAGAGCCTGTTCAGCCCTCACCAGCCGTGGAGAGGCCCTCGGATGAGATAAAGTGAAGTTTCGTGCTCAGTATCGGTTCCGCAACAAAGCACTATGTCCTGCCCTGCTGCTGCATGACAGCTATGCAAAGAGCCTGCAGTAGAGGATGACTAGCTTGCATGATGTGTAGAAACTTCTCAGAAAGATCTCCCGTCGAGATGCGGAGAGGCAGTGAGCATCGTAAATCAGTCTCCAACGTGGGCGCTTCACCATGGAACGCAGGCGCATGCAAGCCTCGCAAGAGATAAACAGTGCGTGACAAAGCCATGGCCGACACCATGCCGGACGACGCGCCTGCTGATTCACAGGTTTCAGCTGCTGCGTCGTCGATGGAACCGGACCCTGTTGAAGCTCCAGTGCCAGAGCCCGCGTCAGAAGCAGCACCTACTGAAGCAGAGGTTCCGGCGGCGGAGCCGTCTGTTGAAGCAGAGCCAACAGAAGCAGCGCCTGTTGAAGCGGAGGTTCCAGCGCCAGAGCCATCGTCAGAAGCAGCACCTACTGAAGCAGAGGTTCCGGCGGCGGAGCCGTCTGTTGAAGAAGAGCCAACAGAAGCAGCGCCTGTTGAACCGGAGGTTCCAGCGCCAGAGCCATCGTCAGAAGCAGCGGAGGTTTCGGCGCCAGTGGCACCGATTGAGCCTGCTGAAGCTGGCGTTGCACAGACAGTGTCGTCGACGTCCTCTGCGACAGTGAAAAAAATGGAGGATGGCAAGTGGAAAGTCGACACGGGGTACATTGACCACAGGACGAAGGACCCAAATCGCCTGGAGAGCCGCCGCTCTGTCCTGGACGAGTCTGTCACTACTGCCGCCTCCGTCGCCCGAAGCGAGCGCGACGAGGAGGGCAAATTCAAGGTCGGCTGTTGTAGCTTTGCAACACGTTAGTCTGTCAGACTCGCTCCCCCGTCCCCTCAACTTTCCGTTGAGCTCCTGAGGTCTTGGTATCTTTGGTATCCGCATAGAGGTCACGATAGTTCACTTCTGTTTTTCTTCGTAACGTTGTCACCGCTGGCTATGTTCCCAGCGTCTGCGATCATGACGGAGGCCGTTTTAAATCCTTTGATTGTGTAGGATTGTTGATGAATGCTGATGCATGTTGCAGGTCGACATGTCTTACATCAACCACCGAACGAAGGAGGTGGGACGCCTGGAGGGCAGGCGCTCGGTGCGGGAGCCGGAGGCACTTGCGGGGACTTCGGCCTCGGCCAGCGTGCGGAAGGACGGAGGGACTTGGAAGGTCGACACGTCCTACATCGGCCACCGCACGGGCGACACCGGGAACTTCACAAGAAAAGAGGCAGCCGAACCGGAAGCTGCTTATGCAGACCCGGCCCAGAAAAAGTACTCTCACGAGGAGTTGAGGGTCAGCAGCGGCCGCCCGGAGGACGTAGATCCGGCCAAGCGGGAGCTCTACCTCTCAGAGGACGATTTCCAGGCGGTCTTCGGCATGGCCATGGCCGACTTCCTGAAGCAGCCGAAGTGGAAGCAGCAGAATGCGAAGAAGTCGAAAGACCTCTTTTGAGCTGCGGAGCCTTGCGGAGCCAGTCGCGGTGCCTGGTTTTAAGCGCCAGGCGACAGGCCTGGCCAGGCGTTTCAGCCTCGCGGAGAGAAGTAAGGATGCAGAAAGGGTGGACGAAAGCATGCGGAACCAAAACGCTGAAAGACCTGTCAGACTGTCGAAGCTTCTGCAGCCCTCGCAGGCCTACGATTCAGGTCGCCGTGCGAAGAAGACACTGGAGTCGCAGTCGCCGACGACCCAGCGTGACAGTGGGTGGTGATCGCAGGTTGGGCTTGCCGCCATATGCCATGTTTCTCACAACTCCAAAATCAAGAAGGGCCAGCAGCTCTTTTGAGAGTTGGGTTGGGCTCGACATGCACGCCGTGGCAGCACGACCCTGCGAGAATGTAGCATCGAATATGCGATCTAGCTTCCAGGAGATCGGAGACACACCACTTTCAGGCTGTTGGTCGCTCTCTGTGGTGAGGTCTGTCGAGCTGTCTCTCGAGGACTTCGAGGCGCAGGTGCTGAGGCGTTGATCCCAGCTTAGCGAAGCTGCGTGTGGAACTACTGTTCTGAGATCCCGTTCACAACTACCACGTTAGCACAAGCACGATGATTCTCGTTCCCCAGCTGCCCCAACTCTTCCTTTGCCTCTGGCAAGCCAAAACCTTCAGATGGCGGAAGTGGAGTGGGCGAGTGAGTCCTTGGGGCAGGTTACTTCTGGACCGGACAAGGAGGGAGGCAAGTGGCAAGTGAAGGGAGGCAGTCGAGGAGTGTGTGGCAGCACGTAGGGGGAGGTGTGGGAAAATTGGGGCGAGAGTGGTGAGAGGGGCAAGGAGCGAGTGTGGCCGAGCCTGCCAGATTTTGGGAAGAGGCAGTGGGGCGAGTGAGGTAGACCCAGCGCCAGCGCTTGGCCTATGATGTGTTCGCCGTACCCTCCGGGCTGTCAGGTCAAACGAAGTTTGGTTCGTCCAAGCTTACGATCCGAACGATGGCACCTGCAAGTCCTTCGCAACCGGATGGGAGGACCGTGCTAAAATTGAGGTTGTCGTTTGTAATTTCAATTCAGACGCAACACGGGCCAGGGAGGCTGCAAGGTTTAAGTGGGCTTCGTGTGCCTCTAGGACATCGAGCTAGCAAACTGCATCTTTATAGATGCAAGGGGTTCCGCATAAAAGTCTTGCCGAAAACAAGCGAAGGTTGTGCCGCGCAGCCACTCTTCGACAAAGTTTGCTGTCGGAGCTTAGACATTTCGTTGATGTGCTTCTTTGGGCACTTTCTCTACGGGATGCAGGATGTGGCACACTCTTACGGCGACCATGCGCGATTTGGCCGCTTGGACATCACGAAGAAGGAGCTGAAGGCACTGGCTTAACGGCTTCGGGAGAAGTATTTGCGCAGTCCCAAAGCCTGCCATTCAATCCACATCTGGATTTTGCTCAGGCAGCTTCTGTGGAAACCTTGTGCACATGCAAATCAAAGTCGACGACGCATCTCACGATCAGCCGACAAACGAAATGTCAGTAGAAAAACATGCCGGTGCCACAGTAAAGTGGTGATAGTTACTCATCACCTCAACTCGAACATGTAAATTTGAACGGCCAAATTCAACGCAATGTCTTCCGGCCGTGATGTCCTCAACGTGCCGGAGCTTCTGGAGGTTGGACCGGGTCTTGGCAAGCTCTCCCCTAATGCAGTTGAAGTTTTCTTTAATCCCTAGATTCCCGCCCCGCGTCCCGTCCCAGCCAGAGAACCCCGCCCTCCCCGTGTCCCAGAACCTTGCCCCGAAAGCGGGTGCCGTGAGCAAAGTCTGGACTTCCATGCGCAAAGGTGCCGAAGGTGCAGTGGATTGAATCCAGACGTGTTGCTCAGGCGATGCCAGCGTGCGCTGTGCCACCGGAAGTTGAAGCAACCTGGCCCACAGTACCAAAGCGGTCCACAATTGGCAGCATGATTCAAAGTCTTGCCTGAAATTCCATCGAGTGCCCCAGAACCTAAACCGATTTTGTTGATTGATAAGTTAGGCCGGTGGCCCCCCAATCAAGTTTAACGATGTTTCTCGCCTGCTTCCAGGCAATTCTGCTTTCCATGGGGTACCCAGAGATCCGCCGCTGCACGAAGCACAAGGCCTCAAGCCCAGACTCTAGACTGCGAGCTGCGCTTGAGCCAGCTCGCCAACCCGATTCGTCGGAACCCCTATAGATTGCTGGGGATCTGGAAAATCGCGGGACTGTGCCTGTCAGGTCAGCTTTCATGCTACTTACTTCTTGGACTTCGCCGGGCCACTTCCTTCGGGCGCAGAGGTCTCCAACGATTCTAAGTGCCCTGATGGTTCTCGATTTGCCAGCAGCACTTCCAGCTATGTTGATAGCGGACTCACGGCAGACTTCGAGCGACGGCTGCAGGGACGCGCGGTCCTTCAAATGATTGGATCCCAGCTGGGGGACAAAGGGTCTCGCCCACAGAGAGCCTGCGCGCCATGACACTGCCGTCACTGCATGCTGGAAAGAATCGAAAGACAGCAGCCCTGCGGTGGTCTCTGGCAGTTGGGCGATGTATCGTTATCTGTCAGCACCAACAGCGGGAACGTGCTTGTGATAACAGCACTCTCAGAAGCATCATCATGCGATGTGGGTGCTAGCGATTGGGATGATGATCGTGATGCTGGTCGGGACGATGCTGGCGACAATGAAGACGGCAGGGATAACGGTTGGTGCTTTCGTTCAGCACTGGCCTCGCTGAGGCTCTTCCACTTGCAGAAGCCCATCAGTGCGGAGTCCATTGTCCGAGCAACTGCGCTGGCCCAGGCCAAACTGGAGAGACGGCAGAGCGCGAGGTGAGAGCTACAAGTGTTAGGATGCTGGCATCCGCGTGCCGCAGATCCTGGCCAGTGGAAAGGCCGGAACGCCGGAACATTTGCAGAGACTTCACAGACGCCCAAGTAGGGTCTCTGGCGGCCTCCAGCCCGCTTTGCGGTGGGAGGTGGAGTCCTGGGGGCCGCTTTCCGATGTTCCTTTCCTCGTCTACGAGTTTGTGAACACAGCCACCGTGGAGGAGCGCCGCACCAGTTGTAGCCCCATGCCCAGCCTTGCACAAACTCCGTCAAGCTGCAAGCGTCAGGGAACCCCTACGGGTGCTTTTGCATCAAGTCTAGCATCCATCCTGGACAGCTCTGTGCTTTTCCGAAGCCCAGGATGAGCGGGTTGCACCCGGCAAGGCGGGAGCTGCTGACTTTCCGAAGAGGGCGTCATTCGGTGTACTGCTTTTGCATCACAACACCCGCGCTGAGTTGCATTGAGTACCCAAATGCCGCCCCTCTGCAGGATTTACGGCTGGCCATATCCGTTGAGACCTCAGCGAGTCTGCTGTTGCCTGGTGCTTGGCAGCACAAGATCTCTGCAGCAGGACGTGCAGGAGAAGCTCAAATGCCTTAGCCTAACAGGCGTCAACACCGAGCCGTTGCCCCGTTTTGAGGTGCCGTCATGCTTCAAAACGTTCCGTGCTGAAGCCTACATGCGCCTCTGGTTAGTTGCTCACTTGGTAGGATTGCTTCGAGTTCACGGCCTACCTGCGCCAACTCGCAGAACAGATCCAGGTTGAACGCTTGTGGACACGGCGTGCCCTGACAAGCTCTGACTGCCTGCCAGGCACCGGATCTGGTTGAAGCTTTGCTGAACATGGATCGCAGCCTGCGCACAGCAGGCCACGTTGAACAGCCATAGTGATAGACAGAACAGAGCTATAGCTGCGAAGGCATCACGCCAATACCGCCCACGCTCATCCACCAGGTCAAGCGTTAGCTTCCACAAGCCTGCGCGCTTGTTGCTGCTTGTCGTTCAGATTGCGCGGGCTTGACTTGGCTTGATAGGATCTGAATGACGGCAATGTCCTCTGCTCGCCTGATAGCAGCGGGCAGTGGAAGTTCGATGCCCTCATTGATTGGGAAGGTGCTGTGGTAGGCCGGGATGCTGCGAGTTGGGCGAAAGAGACTCGAAGGAGTGACTGGAGTCAGGCGACTCGCGGCTGGCATATGAACATGGAGAGCCCTGGAATGCCTTGGGCAAGCTTGCAAGAGCTTCCTGGATGCATAGTGTTTTTGGGTTTTTTTGTCTAATCTTGAAGCTGTCCTGGGAGGTTGTCAAGATCCGATGGCTCATGGCTGTCGCGTCGGGCGCGCTTCTTAGGAATCACAACGTAGTCGAAGTCTGCAATCTTACGCATGCCGCCAGACTTTCGCAGCTAGGCACTCTGCAAGATGCAGCCCTTCCTCGCTGCTGTGCGGAGGACATCTCCGCTTCGCTCTTTTCATCCGCCGACTCGCTGTGTGGCGGTGTGAGAGAGATCGATGCCAAAACCAGGGATGAGAGATGAAATTCACACAAAACTCGCACGACTCATGGTTTCGGTTTTCGCTCTCCAGCCGTCAACTGTTTTGGGGCCTGGGAGTTGACCAGGAGTTGGTGGAGGACTACGAAGAGCTTTCTGACTTCTTGGTGCGCAGCGGTTGGCTCAAATTTGTGCAGCCTCTTCCGCGCCTGAGCTAGCACGGTGAGGACCACCCAGCGACTTGCGTGCTTGTACATAGTCTGCATCCATAGGTGCAGTAGCCCGTCTCACACGAAAGGCCCATCACGGGCCAGGGTGTCGGTTCTTTGGCATGATAAAGAACTGCATTCTGGGCATGTTCCGTAGGAAGGAGAGAGACTCTGGCAGAGATGTCCGGCAACCTTGAAGATGTGAGAATGATGAGTATTTCCGATTCGACTTAGAGATTTGAGTATCCCGTCGATTCTGCAGTCCCTGCTGCCGTTCAAGCCGGTGCTGCTGCCTGTGGAGAGCGACTCAGTTCCGTTTGTGTGGGTAGCGGAGATTGGGACTTGTCGGTTCATTGCATGCCTTGTCAAAGGTGTTCAGATATGCTCGCGGCATGTCCGTGGAGCACTGGATGTACTCAGACAGGTATGGACGGGACGAGGCCACGCCCTAACGGATCTAAACTCGTGCAGCATGTGTTTCTTGGCAGGAAGGTGCTGGTGGTGGCAAAGGACTCACTAACTTCATGGACAGCACCTTTCCCGAGGCCAAGTTCTGCGTACTGGCACGCTCGCGGCTACGAGCATCCCGTGTCCCGCCAGTTCCAGCGTCACGAAGCAGTGGCGGACCTGAAGAATTGGTGGACTTCGGACGAGCCAGGGGCTCAGAGTCCTTTGGCGCATTTCACCTCAGCCTCAGCATAGCTTGGTCGGTCAACTTAGAACGGCAAAGCCCCACTGAGAAGCCTCGCCATGTTGCTCTGTTCCTGGCAGGCCACGGATACTGGTGGTGGGCCCGTCCTCGAGCAGCAGGGCGGCGAAGGCCGTGGACTTCATGCCGGTGCCGGGCCTGAGCGAGACTTTGGGCCTTGATCTTCTCTGCCGCTGCCTGACTTGCCGCCACAGGTGCTGCGATTGGCGCACGTTTGGGCGGAGTTCTTTAGTTTTGCATCGGCCGATGCCAAACTCGTTGCAGAGGCTCCCGCAGTCCAGCGATGAGTGCTCCTAAGCGAGTCATGCAGAGATATGGGCTAGGATCCATTGTCACGCCGCCTTGTACGAAGCACTCAAAAGTTGCACCAGAGCTTCAAGCTTGACGGTTTTCGTGGACCTTCGACTGGATCCAGGAAGACTTCGAGACTCTGCATACTCTGCCAGCCTTGACAGACCCTCGGCTCCCAGTACACGCTTGAGCGGGGCCGGGATCCAAGATCTGAGAAAAGCGCAGCACGTGCACTCATGCGGTGTTTCATCAGATCCGTCGCATTGCTTATTTCTGTCATTGAAGTCTTTGTACCAGACGGAACTACTAGATAAGCCATAGGCCGATGAAAGCTTTGCTGCAGGTCAGACATGGGCGTTGATGTTGCACAGCGGAGGCATGTCATGCTGACGGTCACTGGCACAGGATGCTCTAGGAGGAGGATCCTCTAAGGTCGTCTGCTTTGCGAAAGCTGCGGAATAAGACGGAGAGCTGGGAAGAAGTTTCCCTCATCGCCAGCCCTGAAGCTGAGTACGTTTCCGGGGCGTGGTTTCCTCACAGACAACGAAGAGGTGTTAAATGGTGTTAGGCTCCGGTTCTGTGCTTCCATGAACGAACCCGAGAAGCGCAGCCTGCCAGGTGACGTCAGCAGGACCCAGGTCCGAAATGTGAGGGACATGGCGCCCCTCATCCAGGAGCTATGCAGTGAGATAAAGTAGAGCTGACATGTGCTTCGGGCATCTGTGGATGTGCATGGGGGGTCTATGAACCCTTGCATGCTGTAGCATCACGAGGACTTTATCTCTGAGCAGATCCCCCGACAAGCACCTGTCGCGACAGAGCGCCGCTGCCCCAGCCGCCAGCTGCCAGTGTCGACCACGGCCAGCACGACCCTCTAAAATCCTCTAAAGGGGCGGCTTGACCTGAAGTGCCCGTGGCAAGCGCGAAATGTCGCCACAGCGTTGGCAGAAAGCGGTTTAGTAGCGGCTACGGAGTCTGATGACGGATAAAGTCGGTGTGGCAGGACACACCAATGCCGGCAGTGCCGACAGAGTGCCCAGGCAACTTTCAGCAGCTCTGCGGCGACCGAGCGCTCAGTCAAAGCACGAGCAGAACGCGACTTTCTCAGACATGATGCACACTGAAATGGATGGGTGTTTATCAACCCATGTGTTCTGGGACTTTGGGGTGAGATGCCTTGGTATGAGCCGATGAAGGATACCGCAGTCTCTTACACTAAGCCGTACACTCGCTCAGGAGTCAAACATCCGACCGACACGTTTGCGTGAAGGAATTTGGTACAGGAAGTTGTCGAGGCAGAACACCTCTAGGGTCGAGATGCTTCAGCAGAGGTACTGCTTGATCCTGGTGGACAGGAATGCGGAACAGACCGCAGCTTGACGGCACTCAGAGCTTAGGTAAAAGCCCTGGCTCCGAGCTCCATGATGTTGCCTGCGCGCGATTGCAGCAATGCCTGCGGCGCTTGCATTGCATGTCGTGCGAAGTTGAGCTTGCGTTTGTACTAACTGTTCGCGAGGCACTCTGCTGGGCAGGCCCCGACCCTCCCACTCCCAAGCACCCGAAATCCCTAGAGCCGGCTCCCAAGACCAACCCATGAGTCCAAGACATCTGCCACACTGCGGGAGCACGGTTGGCACCAATTCGGCGCCCAGAGGAGCCGGCAGGGGACTGTGGAAGGAATGCGCTTTGACTAGCGGGACAAAACCTCGGTAATCCAATCCGTCTACTCTGAGCATTGGATACTAATTCTAACGGTTAGAACTCAATATGTTTTAGGAAGATTACTGCCACCAAACTCAACACAGTCACAAGCAAGAAGTGGCTAAGACCACGGCTGCTGTGACCACTCAGTCCTCGGCACCACAGACCACCACTTCATCGATGTCGGCTTCGGCCAGCGGATATGTACACTTCCAGCTGCAGAGTGCATCAGACATGACAAAGGCCAAAGCCCTTCGAGAACTTGAGTCCTCGCTCGGGACTTACATGTCGCAAGGGAGTCGAGTCGAGTCCTACGCAAAGGTATGGGGTATTTAGGTCGAGCGAGGAAAGTAGTATTCCACCTAGGCAGAAGGCCTACTACCAGGAGGCCAGCAGCACTTGAGCAGCGCAGGTACAGGTAGATGGCATGGCGGGCTTTTTCTTGGTTTCAGCCCAAATGTATGTCTCGTGCGGAAGCCAGTGGCAGGTGCAAGAGATCCGAAACGCTGGGGAGGACGCTGAGGACATGGCCCGTCATCCGTTGTGGAAACTGCAAGCCTTTACTTTGGCATGGCCCAAGTTAAGAACTTGCTGACCGAGGGTCTGGAACCACATCTTCTGGGGTGCAGGAGCCCTTCCGAATCCAGCCAGTGCGCGTTGCCTCAAGTGGGTCGCGTACGATTCTCAGGTTCGAGTCTCTCGAGCAGGGCCCGTCGTAACCGTTACCGAGGCTTTCCCTGGAGCCCCGCTGCGCCAGGGCCCAGCTTTCCTGCCGTTTGGGCGGAGGCCTCCAAGGCACGGCCCGCCAAGCCAGCTGCAGCCAGCTCACCTCCTCTGACTTCCCAATGTCACCTTTTTTCTTTTGGCGCTGTTGTGGAGGCCTGGGCCTTTGTACTGGACATGGAAACGCGCAAGTTCGCCGCCGTGAAGACACCGAGCCTGCGTGGTCCCCAGCGACGTCCATGCTGCAGCGCTGCGGTTCTGGAATGTTCTGGATGGCTGAGTGGCACAGGGTGATGCCAAGAACGAGTCTCTAGCATGATGCTTGCCACGTCTCTGAAGTTGACACAAAGAGTGGCTTGATACCACCTGCAGCATGGAGCAACTGCCTGCACTTGTTGAGCCTCCAGCGGGGAACCATTGCCCTGACCCTGACTGATGCAGAGATATACCCTGCAGGAACGAGCTCTTCCAAGGCATCGCTTACGAGGTGGGGCGTAAGAAGGGATGAGAGGCAAAGCCGCAAAGGATCATTGGTTTGAGGATCGTTCTTAAATGTGTGCCTAGCCGGCATAGGACTTGAAGCTCTCAGAGCTCAACGAGGATGGGTGCTGCTCTAAGCTTCCGGGTGAGAAAGACAGGAGGAGCAGGCTTCCGGGTGCTGTTTGGAGGGTAGGTGACGTGAGAAGGTCAGGCGTGCAAGTCACATGCAGCAAGTCTGTGACGACGCACGGGCGGGTCGAATGGCTGGTGCATGCCATTCACGTGCCTTGTCAGTGTCACCTCAGTGGACCTCAGACAAAGGCGAGCACACACCATGATCCAAGCCTTCAAAAATCAAGACGAAATCAGATCCGACACAGCTAAGGCACACACACACACACACACCCACACGCACCAACGAGCGCAAGCAAAGTAGGGCAGCAAGGGGTCAACCGGCCCGCACAGCAATCATCGTCGCTTCACAGCAAAAGACCATCTAATTCCATCCCCCTCAAACCCCAGCATTGCGCCGAGGCCTCCTCTTTCACGGCTCTTCTCGGACCCAGAGACGACGCTGCGCCGGCTTCTCACAGGATTGGACACCCTCTCTCTGTCGCTCTGCCTGCCTGCCTGCCTGCCTGCCTGCCTGCCTGTCTGTCTGTCCCACTCACTCACTCACTCACTCACTCACTCACTCACTCACTCACTCACTCACCCGCTCTCGCTCTCTCCGTTGCGTTCTCTCTCGCTCTCTCTATCTTTACATATACATACATGCGCATGTACGTGTACATCTATGCGCTTCGCTGCTGTTCGTCAAGGTCGGGAAGTGAGTGCTATCCTCTCGACCAGCCGGGCACAGAGAAGAGCGGCGATTCGGCCTTGCACCAGACTGCATGATCAGGCTTGGGTGCCTGCTTTGCATACCTGCTGGTGGCCGTCGTCGTTTCGATTTCTCCAGCTATGACCTAAGTCTTGCTTGGCTGCATGTGTGATGCTGCTGAAGAGCAGCAAGTGCATGTATGTGAGCCGCGACAAAGTCTGTTCAAGTCCTTGCTTGGGCCTTTTTACCTTTCATGGAGGGCTCTTCAGATGCAAGGCATCCGCTTCGGCTGGAAGGCTTTGCAGCCGGCCTGTGGTCTCGTGGCTTTGAATTTCTGTCCCCTGTCCCCTCCGTCTGAGAAGGTTGCATGCAGCCAAGAAGGCAAGAACCCTTTCGGCTGGCTGCGGGAGAAGGGTGGCTTCTGGCTTGAACAGCTGGAGGTGCAGAGGATCCCTGGTCGCGGCCATGGTGTTGTTGTCTCTCACGCCGTCCCCTGTGGACGAACCTTGGCGGAGATTCCCTGGACTTTGATCATCAGCCACAAGCTGGCCCAAGAGGATGCCGATGTGCAAGCTCTACTTCAGGACTTGGCTTGGACGGACGGTAGTCACGCTGTTCGACTGTGGCTCCTGCGCCATGCAGAAGATGCAATGTCACCTTGGTGGCCGTGGCTGAGCCAACTTCCGGAGGAGGACAGTGCCGGAGCAGGCTGTCTCCCCGTAGTACTCGCGCAGCAGAGCCACGACGCTTTGCTTGGGACTCCCTTGCAAAGGCAGGCAGAGCTTCTGTTGCAAAGTTTGAGAGAAGAGTGGCACGCACTGGAACAACTTAGATCAAATCATGGCTGGATTTCCCTCTCATGGCACAGATGGCTTTGGTGTCAGGCGATCGTTTCAACACGGTCTGGTACATTACCTGTGGAATGTTCGGAGGAAGAGGTGCAGTGCATTATTCCCATGCTCGACTTTTTAAACCACAGTACAGAACCAAATGCCTGCATCGTTGGTACCCCAACGTCTGTCAAGCTTGTTTCCGTGCAAGACATCGAAGGGGGGCAGGAGGTGATGATTTCTTACGGTATCCACAGTGCAGAGCAGTTTCTCTTCGCGTTTGGATTTCTGCCCGAGTGTTCTGCGGAGATCGTCGTGCCACTTGCACTTACGGAGGCATCAGCCGGAAAGCGCTTACAGTTGTTTGGACCTGGAAGGCCAGCATGCCTTCGTGGTGACGACGGGCTGGAGGAGATGCTGCAAGTCTTGGCAGCAGAACCTCAGTTCCAGAGATGGACCCGACGAAGACTGCTCGAGCACCTGCAATCTCTCTTCGCGGCCTGGCACCACGAGCTCACCAGGGTCACCAGGACATCCTTCTTCGCACTTTGGAGGAAGCCTTACCCGGAAGCAGAAAGCCTCCGGCTCTGCTATGCCAGAGCTGTAGTTCGACTGCTCGATGAGGTGCGGGCTGAGCTCTCGACTCATGCAAAAGACAGTGCGGAGGAAACCATGAGCAGCAGGGGCTGTGATCACTGTGTGACGGTTCCATGTTATGTTGTGCAACGAGAGTATGGCCGTGCAGGTATGTGAGCCTCAGACATGATGATGGTCCTCGTTGTTACGTTCTTCTCCAGTTCAGGATAATTTATCGTCGTTCGGGGATGATGCGAGCAAGACTGGACATTCATCCTCATTGCCTGAACCTGAAACGCCATGCCGATGTCATGGCTGGCAAAACCATAGGCTATAGGCATCCAGAACACAAGTGTCGCACTAAAGAGCTGATGAGAGCTGCTTGTAGATGCATCTGAGGAGTTGGAGCTGCCTGCGCTGGCAGCGGGCTTGTCGGCCCTAGCCAGGGACTTGGAGCTTCCAGAGTTTGGCCTCGCTTTGTAGCAGGTTCGGCACAAGACTGGTCGAGTTTGATGCCCTCCGTTGTTTGAAGGCAATGGTCGCAACGCTGGCGTCGCCAGTGCTGACTCGGAAGTGTGTTGGTCACTTGACTCATCGGCAGCAGTCCAACCACATTCATTCCGTCCTTACCCTTGCTACCACTTTCACAGAAAGCGAGAACCCTACAGGCATATTTTGGTGCGCGATCAACTCGTCAGAGCCCCAGGAAGTGGCTGCCGAGGCACGGGGACCTCACGAGTCTGCTGCCTAAGGTCACGCATGGAGTGCCAACGAAATTTCTAGAAGTCCCATGCTTGGCTGCAGAAACGGGACGCAGAGGATGCAAAGGCAGACAAGCCCCAACTTTCGTCTTTGTAATCGGACACTCCCTCAAGCTCTGTGGCCCGTTCTGCTGCGCTGGCAGTGTTAGTGCAGCATGCCGTGCTTAGAACAGAATCTGGCGCAGCTGAAGCCGATTGAAGCCTGTATGTTTAAACCAGTTCGCAGCATGACGAACTTCTGTCGTTCATTCTGTTCTGTGTCGCGCGGTTCCTCTTGATGGATTCAGAGATCGCAAAAAGAAAAGCCACCGCTGCAGTGCTGGGAGGTTCTGGCAACAGAGAGGGCTCAGGACCTGCAATTCGCGGCCAAAGGTCTGAGACTGTTCAGAGCTCCGGGCGTCTCAATTTGCAACTTCCCTGTCGAAGTCGGGCTCACAGAATGCTTGAGCGGAAGGTTTCCCAGGCAACCAGTCCTTCAGCTGAAAAACTCAGTGTCCAATACCAAGAGCACGACACTGTTAGCAAGAGCTCCAGTCATCAAATCCACCCACTGCTTACGCAAACCATTTATTGCGGTGCCTGGGTCGGCGGCTGTGGTAAACGCCTGGTGAAGGCAAGAGGGCACCCGTTCAACCGTTCTGTCTCTCTGACATTCATCGAGTGCACTTTGTGCCAGGAAGCAGGCAGAAGTTTTGATTCCGCTCCACCTGCCGTTGGCTCTTGGGCACCATGGGCCGAAAGCGCGGAGGGGACTCTCGGCTGAAGCAATCCTCTTCCACCTCCCACCGCTCTCGTACGAGCTCGTCGTGGCCGGCAAATCCACCGTTCGGACCGTTAGGGGGTAGAAGCCGTAGGAAGCCGCAGCGTGGTTGTAGCACGGTAGCCTTTCCCATGAAACTGTGACTCCTCTTCGTATCGTACTGTCTGATTGATTGAGACCGTCTGTCTGTGCTAAGGAAGGAGGGGCTGGAGGAGACGATGCAATCCCCAGCCTGCCGGCAGGAGCCAGAACAATGCAGCGCATACTCGGCCTTTGTGCATGTGTCGAAAAAAGTGGCTTGCGGCATGTCCTTTGAGAGGAGCCCTGGATCCCGCAGCGCTCGGTTTTCCACTGCCACCTGGAGGAGTGCCAACGGCGCCGTTGCCCGGAGGCCCACCGCCGGGCGGAGCACCTCCAGGTGGGCCTCCGGGTGCTCCGAGCTTTCCGGGCTTTCCCGGCTTGCCACCGGGCGGACCACCAGGTGGTCCAGGCCTCCCCTTCCCAGTGCCCCCAGGCCTCGCAGGCCTCGCGGATCCGAAAGCGCTCGGCTTTCCAGGGCCGCCAGGAGGTTTGCAGCTCCCGCCAGGTCTCCAACTCCCTCCAGGCGAGGGACGGGCGGGGCACAGAAAAAGGGGTTTCAGAAAAGATGGGAGACAAGTGTTTTCTTTGCGTGTGTGTTTCTGGCAGGAGTGCCGGCTCCGCCAAAGGCACCGGGCCTCCCGGGCGGCTCCGCTCTGCCGCCGCCACCTCCGGGGATGGGCCTTGGGGGACTTCAGCTCCCACCTGGAATCGGTCCACCACCCGCACTGCCGAAGCTGCCCTTCCCCGGCATGCCGCCGCCCCCGAACTTGGATTCTGAATCCTTGGCGCAGATGAGGCACACACAGGCCATCAGAGGCTCCCCAGTCAACTTCACATGTTTGCAGGTTCCAACAGGTGGCCTCCGAGTACGAGCAGATCAAAAGTGCCGGGATCGATCCACAGGTGGCAGAGCTTGCGGAGTACCACGGGCTAGGCCCCGCGAACCATCAACTTCCGCCGATCATGGTGACAGTACATGTATGATGAACATCATTTCCCGACATCTGCCTCAGATGATCGTGCAACACGTGCCCTCGACGAAGAAATGAAAAAGCGAAAAGATTCGTGGCCCGTCGGCACCTGGTCATGCGAGATCGAGCGTTTCTCGAGATCACCCGAGGTTTGAATCGGATCTGCAAGCTCTTTGGGTTGGCTTGGAAGGATCCAAAAACCCATCAGGAGTGATTGTCTTGGTGGCTGTACAGGGAGGGAAGATTTGTCGAGTGTGCCGGTGTCAGTCCGAGATCGCACCAGGAATGCTGATGATGAAGCTGAAAGACATGCGGATGGGGACTTTCAAGGGCATGACGGCATTGAACAAGAAGGACCCGTCCCGCAGTGTATTTAGCGGCAGTCGTTCCTGCAACTTCATATTCATGGTGAATCAGCGTCTCTCCACATGTGTCTGCCAGATCCAAGACTTCGCCAAGAGAAATCGCCTGGATGCACAGGCTGCTGTAAAGCTGGCGGAGGTGCCAAGATAAGAGGGAATGCAGCCAGAGTCTGTCGGTGTTCAGTGGATCTGAGAAGTCGGCACACCGTCGGCGAACGAAAACAGCAAAGGCAACTGATAAGAGCGTAAACGCTTCAGCTTCAACCCGAAAATGGTCGATGTAGGTGATGGAAAACCGTGACGATGTGGACGGGGACCTGATGAAACTTGCGAAGCCGCAGCCCCAGATCTTTATCCAAAGGCTTATGTGCTTTGTGGAACCGTGCTTGACACAGCTTTGGGGCCTGGAAGGTTTCCTGAGATTTTCGCAACTCGTAAAGACTGCATTGATTCCAGTCCCGTGGTTTCGATTGCCGGGAAACTTTCCGGGCTCGTAAGTGGCATGTCTCCACCAATGCGGAAGCGAGGCATCTCGAGCGCTCCAACAAGCCCTCCTCCCTGGTCATGATGATGCTCCGGGACCTCCGCGAGGGGAAGCCCGTCAAGGAGCGGCGTAGAGTCAGTAGATTCGGGATCTCAGCTCTCATCCCACCGGGACTGTGACGTCAGGACCCCGAGTACGCAGCTGCTATTGGCAGCAAGGCGCGGCATCCATGCCAAGCAACGGCCTGGAGTTCGAGACACCAAGACAATACCAAGGGACCAAGACCATCAACTCCGCAACATGCAACCATGATCACTTCCTGCGTGCAAATGTCGCTAAGCACAGAAGCTTGTCTGATCCAGGTGCACGAGCGAGAGCTCCGTCAGTCAGCGAAGGACCGACTGGGGTTGAGCACCTTGCATACACGAGTCCTGGTGGATTTTCTTTCAGGCTAGATGTACCGTGATTTCCACGTTGGAATCCCGCCAACCGTCGGTCAAAGGGCACCTACCTACACTCTACAGGCCAAGCCTCTGTACTAGCCCTGAAGGTGAGGTTTGGGTAAGCCTTGGCATCTGGGGCACGCTCAAGTGCTGCATGTATATTTCTTCAAGCAACAACCCAAACAGAATCTCCCCATGCGCAGCTTGCCGGGACACCTCGTACCATGCACGAAGCTTGGATCGCCGAGACCAAATGCTGGGAGGTCTTCAACAGGATTGCTTCTCTTAGAGCCAAGTGACAACTGTCACCTGAGACCTGAACTCAACAGATACGGCAGCATATAAGAATGATGCAACGACGAGAATGGTCATGGGCTTTCATAAGCGATCACTGCAGATACAATTCTGCTTTCAGCACATGTCTCGTAGTTTCGCTCAGAAACGTAGAGAGATGGGTCGTTGCCACCCCTGCACGACATGCTGTGCGACTCACTGCTGAATCCAGAACCTCCAACGGAGCCTGGCACATGCCCGTGCTATGCCGAGGTCC